AAGCTTTGTTTCTTTGTTGTTCCATTTGGACCAATGTGTTATTCTAGAATCTGTTATTCTGACATGATAACTTGGGTTGTTGAGAGATTAGAGATGTGAAAACGATAGAGAAGACTGAGCCGCTTTCCCTTCTCCACACGAGCTCGGAGAGTTCAGCAGTCAGCAGGAACTGGAGGTGTGCTCTATGGAAACATTCATCTGTGTCAGAAAAACTACCACATATGCAGAGCCGCTCTGAGGAAACTCTCTCTCTCATTCCCTTCAGAGCTTTTGTATCACGCAAATAAAATGACTCTCGGCCAGCTAAAAATAAACTGTGTTAAAATTGATATGCAATTAATCACACATAATGATTTGTTAAGAAAAACCCCCAAATGAAGGCAGGGTTTAATGTTGTAGATGAGTATATCAAATAAAGAGCATCTTTACAACTGAACACCTACAGTAGTGTTATTTCTTTCAGCCGTTGTTTCGTTTTTTCAGTGTCTTGCATCATGATGGTTGCATTTTAACACCTTGTCAGGTTAAAAACAGTTCGGCTTTAAAAAATCATGCCTCAAAAACTCTTGGTGTGCTCTAATCCAGTTTAGCGCTTCATCCAGCTGTTTTCTTTACAGACTAAGTGAATAGTTCTCAGTGGTAAGGTGTTTTGGCTGTAGTAGCATTCAGAAGGCATAATTAAAAGTGCATTTTTTACTCTGTTATTTTAAAAAAAGGATTAATCGTACTAAATGAACATGTTAAATCGACAGCAATGATAAAAACACAACACAGCAAATTGCTGTTCATGAGGCTTGCTCATGTGTTAATGTGAATGTGCGTATGCATGTGTTCATGTGTAAGTGTGTGTTGGTAAATCAAATCTGCAATTCTAATCAGTGTTTGATAAAGACCTCTGTTTAGCTCACTGACGGCAGAGGAAGCCGACGTCTTAAATTTAAATGAGCAGCACTAAGGGAATTCAAGAGCAGGGAGTCATTTCAAATTGCACTTCTTCAGCTAAAACCAGACAGAAACAGAACGCTACGAAGAAAACACCATGATCATTTAAAAACTTGGGGAGGATGGGGAGATGTCAGTGCCGTCTTGCATATATCTCTCCATAATCAGGCCAAAATAAGGAATATTTATGACATTTTTGCAGAAATTATATTATGTTGCTTCGTGCATATTTCACTGCAGTTTCAAAGTGAAATGTCAAGTGGGAAATGCTAAAAGAGGTGTTAAATTTTCTCGGAAACAGATAAATGTGACTGTGGCAATGTTTTATTACACCCTTTCATGCAAGTATTTCCACAGCTATGGAGATCACATGGCCAATGAATGGCACTAGAATGTTCATGCTTTATCGTGTTTAAAATTGACATGCCTGATGAAACTAACCAATAAAGAAAGAGTTATAGAAAAGAAAATGCATGCTGAAGCAAAGTACACATGGAAAGCGATACATATGGAGACAGACATGTGACTGAAACTAAAAGACAATGATGTGCCAACTATACCTAACCACACAAGTGGGAGCAATCTTTTGTATTGAGTGTTGTTCACTATTGATTTGTGTGTTATTACAGAATGTTTGTTATGAACTCAATTCTTACACATTTTTAAATTAAAAATCTTTAGGGCGTCTGTCTATGAAAGATGTGGGTTGTCAAACATACAGTTAGGTCTATAAATATGTGAACATAATTCTAACATTATTGGCTCTATACTCCAACAAAATGGATTCAAAATGAAGCAAACAAGATGTGCTTTAAATGCAGACTGTCAGCTTTAATTTGAGGGTATTTACATCCAAATCAGGTGAACGCTCTGGGAATTAAAAAAGGTTGCACATGTGCCTCCAACTTGTTAAGGGACCAAAAGTAATTAGACATTTGGCTTCTAAGCTGTTCCATGGCCAGGTCTGTGTTATTCCCTCATCATCCCAATTACAATGAGCAGATAAAAGGTCCAGAGTTCCCTTCAAATGTGCTATTTGCATTTGGAATCTGTTATTGTCAACTTTCAAGAGGAGATCTAAAATGCTGTCACTATCAGTCAAGCAAGCCATCATTAGGCTGAAAAAAACAAAACAAACCCATCAGAGAGATAGCAACAACCTTAGCTGTGGCCAAAACAACTGTATCATCTTAAAATGAAAGAACACGCCAGTGAGCTCAGCAACACCAAAAGACCCGGAAGACCATGGAAACAACTGTGGTGGATGACCAAAGAATTCTTTCCCTGGTGAAGATGATACCCTTCACAACAGTTGGCCAGATCAAAAACACTCTCCAGGAGGTAGGTGTATGTGTGTCAGAGTCAACTATCAAGAGAAAAAGAAAACACCACAGTGAATGAGTTCACCACAAGATGTAAACCATTGGTGAGCCTCAAAAACAGGAAGGCCAGATTAGAGTTCTAAAAAAGCCTTCACAGTGCTGGAACAACATCGTATGGACAGATAAGATCAAGATCAACTTGTACCAGAGTGTTGGAAAGAAAAGAGTAAGGAGAAGGAAAGGAACTGCTCATGATTTTAAGTAGTGAAGCATGATGGTGGTAGTGTCATGGCATGTGCTTGTATGCTTGTCAATGGAACTGGCTCACTTGTATTTATGGATGATGTGACTGCTGACAAAAGCAGTGGGATGAATTCGCTTCACAGTGCAGATAGAGAATGACCCAAAGCATACTGCAAAAGAAACCCAAGAGTTTTTGAAGGGAAAGAAGTAGAATGTTATGCAATGGCCAAGTCAATCACCTGATTTGAATCTGATTAAGCATGCATTTCACTTTCTGAAGACAAAACTGAAGGGGAAATGCCCCAAGAACAAGTAGGAACTGAAGACAGTTGCTTTCGCGGCCTGACAGAGCATCACCAGGAATGAAACCCAGTGTCTGGTGATATCTAAGCGTTCCAGACTGTAACTGACTGCAAAGAATTTGCAACCAAGTATTAAAAAGTGAAAGTTTGATTTATGATTATCATTCTGTCCAATTACTTTTAGACCCTTAACAAGTGTGAGGTACAAATACAAACTGTTGAAATTCCTACAGCGTTCATCTGATTTGGATGTAAATATCCTCAAATTAAAGCTGACAGTTTGTAGTTAAAACTCATCTTGGTCGTTTTATTTTAAATTGAATTGTGTTGGTGTATAGAGCCAAAAATGTTACAATTTTGTCGATGTCTAAATATTTATGGACTTAACTGTATAATTATTACGCAGTTATTATATATATATATATATATATATATATATATATATATATATATATATATATATATATATATAAACTGCACAACGCTGTTCCTTTGGCTACTTTGGGACTGTTGAAACAAGTATTGTTAGCTAACTGTTAGCCAGTCATACCAATGGTACATGTACTTTTGTGAGGAGTGTAAAAACGATAGAAAACGACTCATTACATTAAAATTATGTTTTTTTTATGAATGTAAAATTAAGTGGACCTCAGACAACATTACACAACTAAAAAACAGGCAGTTCATGAACTCTTTAAGGTATGTAGAATGTATGTGTATATGGTGTTGCTGCAAGTTAAGAAAACGTGCAAATAAAGAAACACTTAACAACTAGACTGAGCATCTTCATCAGTTTGACAACACACAAGAACGCAAATTCTCATAAAACTTGCAAACATAAAAACACACTGCTAATAAATCAGATCACAACAGATACAGTATACATTGGGGGACAGCAAAAACGTGATGAACCTGACTGTTTCCTTTTATTTACAGAGCTATTGTTGGAGATCTGAGAAGTGAGTTTTTGTTTATTTTTAGTTCAAGAGTAGTTCCTAATAACATGACATTTCATATAACATTATTGTGCAGTTCGTCAGATTATTAGGGCTAAAAATACACAAACAGCAAGGAACTGTACTATCAGTACGAAAAAAAAAGACTCATAGATCTCTAAACAGGAAGCAACCGTGTTTGTCACTTTCTTTTCTGCGACACATTTCCATTGTGGTCTGCGCTATTTGCAGCATGTTTATATATTTGCATGTCTTGTGAGAATGTGTGTAGTGTCAAATTGATGAGAATGTTTTTCTTGATTAACTTGATTTATCTTAGCCACCGTAGTATACAGCTAATATGCAAACTAATAAGAAACTTATACATGCCTATCATTATGATTTAACAAACTGTTTTTAACAGACAACAAAGAATTGTTCCAGGAACCGGAAGGATATAACTAATAATCTTTTATGTAATCATAAATGGAATGATAAGTTTGCTGGTGTTTTTCTACCTCTAGAGTTAATTTGGACTAAAAACTGTAGTGAATTGTATATATATGGTTTAGTTTGAGGCCTGATTTTCTAACAAGCCTGGGTTGATCTAGAGTGTCAGACACAATGTTTCCTGTCTCAGACTCAGGACAGGAGCAGGTAGAAATAAACCAGGCCATCTGCATGCTCATCCTCTCCCGGGGCCTTTCTACCCATGAATCCTCCCACCTCCCTCCATATGGCGAGTGTCTGTGAGCGTGTGTGAGAAGGTATGTCTGTACCTTCCCTCCAGGGGGCCGGGGGATGCCCACAAACAGGTGATCCAGGAAGTTGGCGCTGCGCCCCAGACCGAGCACGGTGTAGGGCAGCTGGAGAGCCAGATGAGCAGACTGGCTGAGCTGCCCCGCTGCAGAGACAAACAGAGAAAAAAAATGACATGTAGCATGTAATTGTAGGAGCCAAACTGTATGAGTGGGATGCGGAATGGAGGAGTGAAAGGTAAAAGAGAGTCGAGTATACAGCCGAGTACAAGGAGGAGAGAACCGTAAGGAGGAAAACAGAACAGGTGAGGGAGGACAAGATGAAAGAGGAGAAAACAGAAGAATTAGAGTCATCCATAAATAAGGCTTGTTGTTATAAGCTTTCTCAGCATATGCAGAACTTAATTATGTACATATGAAGAGTTAATTATACTCATTTGAAAAGAGTTTTAAACACAGTGTTGTAGGTAATAATTTAATTAAATACTGTACCTCATTACTTCAACTTAAATGGAGTAAGCTCACACTACTCATATAGATTTTTTTACTCAAATGGTTTGTAGCAATTGGGTTTTACAGGACTCCGTTAGTTTAAGTTCTCTTCATTTATTGGGTTTTACTGTGCTCAATTTGCTTAATTTACTCAAATGTATTAAGTTCACAGTAGTAGTTAGGATTAGTTTTTGTTTTGTTGAGGTTGAGGTTTGTCTTAGATACATATAAATGAATATGAGTGATAACAGTTCATAAAGGGTTATATAAAGATATTTGGTAACACTTTAGTATGAGCACTAACTTTCACTTTTAACTACACAAAAAAATCTGTTAAATAAAAAGTCTCTGTGTTTTGTGATTTTAGTATATTTACTGTTGTGAATTGCATTATGGAACCTGGATTTCTGCTCTGTTGAATTTTGATCTAGAAAATATGACTATACAGTTGACTTTTACTGACATTTTAGTAGTTTGAAATAATATAATGTTGAAGAAATAATATGCAGAGAAATAAATCGGGGTAATAATAGAAAATGTACTAGCAGCTTATTACAAGGATTTTGTACCGTAATATGAAGTAAAACACCAACCCAGATAATATATCACTTTAACACAATGGTCTCAAACTCAATTCATGGACGGCTGCAGCTCTGCGTAGTTTAGCTCCAACCACCTAGTTGTGTTGATTAGTTTGATCAGTTGTGTTTGATTAGGGTTGAAGCAAAACTGTGCAGAGCTGCGGTCCTCCAGCAATCCAGTTTGAGACCTATTAAAAATGTCAATAAAAGTCGCTTTTTAAAACTTTATTTATGGTAGTAAAAACTACAAAAAGATCAAGGTCTCATAATGCAATTGAAAAACATAACTAAATGGGGACGCACAAAAATTAGAAACATGAATCACAATATATGGAAAATTAATCATTAATAATTTACGGATATTTACTTACTATAAAAAGCATTCTTCTACGTGACTATATTCTACACCCCTTAATCTTATCACATTTTAAAACTTAACCACAACCACTATACTAAATAGGGGTGTCAAAATTAATTGTTTTTTTTTTTTGGGTGCACCGCGATGCAGACGCGGACAATTCGGTGTCGGTTCAGTAATAATCATAACTGGTTATTATGTACTGAAGTCATTTATCTCATATGCGCTATGTCACCGTAGCTTACTATGGCGAGGGAGCCAAGCGCGAGTATTTACAATGCTCCAACTTCTTAAAAACACAGAAACTGGACAATTTGACTGCGTGTGTGTTTGCTGGTCTTTCACTGACACTTATACCAGAAGCCCCTATTTCACTGCGACTGAGAGAATGAAAGTAAACTCCATTTCTCTCTCTCTTAATGTGGCCCATTTGACCTGCTGGCATGACTTTTCCTCTCTACTCGGCTGTTACATAGATACTTCTAGATACAGACACGAGCGCGTGTCAGCAGAGCTTTCTCCACCGTGTGAAGAAAGGATCAGCTGTAATTGCCGCTGCCGTTTATCAGTGTCAGTCATCTGTGAAGAGTGCCAGCACGTAAGAGCCAATCGCAGCCCTTTCTGTTGAGCGCGTGACCAATCAAATGGAATGTAAAAAAAGAACTTGCTAGACAGGGCTCAGAAAGCGAGTGGAATATTTAGATTTGTTTATTTGCTATTAGTGCTCGTGTTGTTTAAAGGTACAGCTTATATATATGGTTGTATTAAAGGACAAGATTGTATTACAAATAGTTTATAAATATATTTATACATTTTAATACAAGAATTGCTGTGCTGTGTAGAAAATATCAAATTGTGCTTGGAAAGCATCGTCAGTGCATTGTGATATCGAATTGAAGGCATGATAATCGCAAATAAACCGTGAGACCAGTGTAGGTTCACACTTCTAATACTAAATACTATGAAGCAGTAAATAAGGAGTTTCATGAGGTAAAATTTGTAGTTAATAGTAAACATGATCCCCACGCTAAAGTATTACTATATACATTTCTCACAAAACCTCGTCACTTCAGCAGACATTTATTATCCCACTGAAGTATAAATTAGTTTTATGGAGGGATGCATTTTTTTAGGTTTCAAAAAGAAGAATCAGAATATGTTTAACATTATTTTAACACAACTGCTCCTTTTATCACTAACCTGTCCCTATCTTGCTACATGTATTTTTAAAGCTACAGTATAATCAGCAAATTGGTTCCTAAAATCTCATTTTTAATGATTCTGGATGCAGAAGGATGCTTAAACTGAATCTGAACTAACTGATGGAGCACTTTATGCGTGTCCTGCTGAAGCGAGTGCTCACAGTCCCCGACCGGGGAAAGGTCAGTCCATTGCTCATGTGTCATGTGTCCGGCTTAATGATGCCATTAAAGAGAAGAACAATTAGATGTGTATAAGCTGATTTCCCATTACACATCAGAGAGAAAAGAAAGAGAGAGAGGCAGAACAAGGGTGTCCTAATAACTTCCCTCTTGGCACATAATAGCGGTCCAGGAATTCTGGATGCAGACTGAGGATCAATTAGACTGATGGAAAAAGGAGAGTGAGTCTTGCTGACCAGGAAAAGAACTTCAGCTCATATAATACAAAACATGAATGATATCATAGTCTTGCTCTAGTGGTGAAACACATAATGCTGTTTTTTTCATCTGCAGTATATTTTCCATTATCAATTAGTTAGTGTGTTAGTCAGTGAACTGCTTAATGTTTGAATTGTTTTTTAAAATAGTTTTTAAAAGGACTCTTTTAAGAAATTATGAAAAAGTAAAGGTGTCATAGAATGGTATGTGGCTGGTATGTATTAGTTGAAAATTATTATTATTATTATTTTTTAATGAAATTACCCCTAGAAAAGAGAGCTCCATTTTAACCATATTTGGAATGGTCATTGGAATATTGTAATATCAAGGATCTCTGCTCCAACACTTCCCGGTTAATCAGATCTTGCTCTCTCTCTCTCATACACGCATACATACGCACACACACAAATGTGTTTCAAATAATCATACTTCATTTGCCAACAAAATATTTTAAGAAACTAATCAGATGGCTTGCATAAGAGAGGTTTAATTCAATTCAATTCAGCTTTATTTGTATAGCGCTTTTAAAATGTAGATTGTGTCAAAGCTGCTTCACATAAATGGTCATAGTAACTGGAACAGTGTAGTTCAGTTTTTAGTGTTTAAGTTCAGTTCAGTTCAGTTCAGTTTAGCTCGGTTCAGTGTGATTTAATCATTACTGAGAGTTCAAACACTGAAGAGCACATTCATCGATGCGTAGCTCTACCAATCCTGAACCATGCGAGCCAGTGGCGACAGCGGAGAGGGAAAAAAAAAACTTCACCTGATGGGAGTGAAGAAAAAAAACCTTGAGAGAACCAGACTCAGTTCGGCACGACCATTTTAATTTCTCCGCTGGCCAAAAGTCTTGTGCAGAGCTTCAGTCACCGTTTAAGTCTGGTATACACGTTGAGTGATCAGCGGGATGCACGCCGCCTGCCTTGCAAGTAGCCGTGCATTTATACTTCTGCATGCTGATTGTGTTGCTCTGCAATAACACTTCCGAAGCGCTAGCTGGCAGTGAGGTTTTTATGTTCCTCTGTGTCTTGCTTCTTGCAGGTGTTTTGCTATTTCTGAACGCAACCTTAATGTACAAGTAGCTAAAACTCGCTCATTCAGAGGCAGGAACCGGCGAATGCGTAACAAATTTGATCAAACACACAAAAAAAAAAAATCCATCTGGAGCTCCTTCATGGGACTTGACACTTGTAAACACTGGCTAGTGTACGTGTAGTTCGTTTTTTAAAAGAGGTGCGCATCAGCGTCGGTATTAGCCATGGCGACCATGACAAGGCTGCACCGGAACACACACATGCACTTGACGCAGAAGTATAAATCAGCATTTACTGTATTTTAGCTAAAAGGAGTGAGTGAGATATCTTTATGCCACCAGTGTAACCTATTTTGTCGTTGTTATGTAACCTAAGCTGTGTTGCAGATGAAACATAAGCTAAATTAGAATTACATTTTGATAAATAAGTGTAATATAATACGTTTACTATAAGGTTAGGTGAATTCAAATATAATGGTGAAAATGTTGTAATCTCACTAAAAAAAATGTCCAATCACACAGAGCCTGGGAGATTTTACATTCATAGGATTTACATAAGAACAAGAAAACAATCTTAATAAAGGCTCATGGACTGTCATTTCCATGTATTGAACCCTTATTTTTATGCATAAGTATATGCAGATATGCAAACTTTTATTATATGGCACCTCTAAAGCCACACTTTTTATAGACCATTTCTCTGCGTGAGGTTTTAAAACCCCATTATGGGTGATGTAAAGAACATAATTTATTAATCTGCCTTTAGATTGTATTTTATTTATAATAAAACCAAAAACAATTATGAATTCTATATTAAAATATTATCTTAATTTATATTTGAAAAAAACTTAGATTTTCCACAGGCCCTGTAACACCTTTATGTCCCCAAACCCAGAATGAAAACCTCTCATATATAATGTTGTTTGGCAACATCCACAAAACAAAAGAGGATTGAGATTCAGCTAGTCAAGCACAAGGTGCAGGACAACCTAATAGAGCTGTAGCTCACCTCCTACACATGCACACACGCACACACACCTACACC